CTTCTCTTGCTACGGTATCTAGAGCAAGCCCCATATCACTCCCTGAAGATCCTTACCATCCAACTTGTCGATATCACTGGAGTGTACACAATCTGGAGATGCTGACAGTTCCATGGCTCCTTGTCACATAGTGTTTTTGAAAACAAACTTGATCGATTTAGATCTACATCTCTCGCGTGTTGATTGGTCGTTTCTTTATTCATTACCAAACATAGATGCAACTGTTAGCTCGTTTTATAGCTCAATTTACTCTGCCCTTAATTCTTTTGTTCCATATATCACTGTACCCGTATTGTCCAAGCCTCCCTGGTTCTCAAAGTATTTGTCATATTTCAAAAATAATAAATCCCGGCTCTATAAAAAGTACCAGAAGTCGGGCTCCACGTCGGCCTTAGCTCTATACTCCTCCGCTCGCTCTCTATTCCTTGCCGTTAATAGTCAGTGTTATAATCATTACCTTTCACAATGTAGAAGTAACTTTCGTAGTGATCCTAAAAAATTTTAAAACACTGTGCCCAGTCCCTTTGCAAACCCTTGCCTTTCTCTTCAACCTCTCCTTGGAACAGTCTTGTCTCCCAGTAATTTGGAAAGAGTCCTACATCATTCCGCTTCACAAAAAAGGTTCAAGATCAAACATTGAAATCTATCGTCACCCTGTCGTCTATCGTTCCTGGTCACCCGGCAACTGCAACATCTTTGTTGTATCTATGTCGCAACACGTTTTTCTTAGACATCGTTCAACATCGACTAACCTTCTTGATTTTTCTAACCTAATCCACCGTGGTTTTCAACATGGTTTGCAGACGAATGTAGTTTTTACGGACTTCAGCAAGGCATTCGATTCTGTGAACCATGCTCTGCTTATTCACAAGCTCTCTTTATTAGGGTTCCCAACGAATCTTCTAGATTGGATTTAGTCCTATCTCTCTAACCGTACTCAACGTGTTTTGTTTTCTAACGTGTTAAATACTCAATACAAAACATTACTTCAGGTGTGACACAGGGAAGTCATCTGGGCCCTCTTTTGTTTATTTTACTTATGACATTCCTCAAGCTATAACATACTCTACTACACTACTGTATGCTGATGATATTAAAATCTGTCTGTCTTACTCTGATTGGTATTTGCACACACGCCTTCAACTGGATCTAAGTGAACTACTATTGTGGTGTTCAACTTCTTTTTCTGAACCTTTCCAAATGCAAACTTATGACATTTTACCGTCGCGCTCCACATTTTGTCTCATATGTTCTAGGAAATCATGTCCTCGAGCGAATTTCGAGTTCAAATGACCTCGGAGTCCTTTTTGATCATAAGATGTGCTAACAGCCATATAGCTGCAACTGTAAATAAAGCTAAGGGTGTGTTAGCGTTCATCAAGCGTTGGTCCAAGGAGTTTGACGACCCGTACGTTACGAAACAACTGTACATATCGTTAGTACGTCCTATATTGGAGTATTGTTCTTGTGTGTGGAGCCCGCAGTATAAAGAGCAGCAGGTTGTTATTGAATCCGTGCAAAAGCATTTTTTAATTGCCACCCTACCGGTCTAGGCTAAATCTTATTGACCTGCCGTCGTTGCAACATGGCAAAATTTGCAATGGCGTAATTTTCGTGCACAAGCTCCTTCTCGGGACTGTTGACTCCCAAACTCTCTTGGGTCAGATTGACTTGGCCGTTCCATCTAGACCTACCCGTACTTTTAGGTCTATCCGTTTACCCATATGTAGGTCTAATTATGCTGATCATGAACCTTTTAGGGTTTTATGCCATAATTATAACTCCCTCTGCCAAACCCTATCCCCTGAACTCTCTTAAACTAATTGCATGCAATATTTATAATCACTTAAATTTAGCTAACTTTTAACTTCCATTTTTTCGCCTTTAGTAATTAAGTACCATTATTAACAGATAATTTGTTATTTTAATAAATAAATAATCTAAAGAAAACAAAAGTAAATTTGATTTGATATAGGTGTCAAGTTTATGTTAAGGTATCGATAAGTCATCTATTTTTTTTCTTTTTGTTGTATAAAAAGCGTCATTACGTCCAGGAAAATGTTTTGGTTTTAAAAACAAAGAAATCTTGCGGAATGTGAAAATCAGAAAACTTTTGTGAAAGTGAAAACTGGAATAACTTTGACATATGTAAAGCCTAGACTAGAGTAGTCCAGTTTTGGAAACGTCAATTTAGTTAAATTTTAACTGTCGATCGCTTTATACCGAAACAACGCTTTAAAGTAGAAAATAATCGTTCAGTTACGGTTTCGAGTGCTTTTGTTGGTGTTGACCTCAGCGTCCCTGTTACACAAAGCAGAGCCTGTCGCTCTTTACCTCTTGGTAAAGAGGACGAGGTCTATCTGGTCCGTATTGATACTCAGTTCTACTTCTTCCGCCCACTCACGTATCTCCCTGAGTGTACGTTCCATTAAGGAGCTGAGGGTCGATGGACATATACCAGTAATAAGTATGCTTATGTCATCTGCATAAGCTGTTATTATTCGGGCCTTCCTTTCATTTCTCTCGATAAGGTCGTCGACCACCAGATTCCACAGGAGGGGCGACGGTACTCCACCATGGGGTGTGCCTCTTTTACCATGGAGGCGGTGCCCCACTCCGGTTGCAGCCGTATACAACATAGGAGGTTATTTATCCACATGTTGATTGCTGGGTGTGTGTTCGTCCCTTCCAGGCGATTTGTTATTGCGTTCGTAGCCACGTTATTAAATGCTCCAGAGATGTCAACGAATACTTCCAGTGCATACTTTTTATTGTGAAGGGCGTTCCCACTGGTAGCTACTACCGAGCGTATTGCAGTCTCCACCGATTTCCGATTTGGTGTAGGCATGTTGGTTGGTTGACATCAGTCCCCCTCCTTATTCCTGTTTTGTAAGTCCAACAGTTTTTCCAGTGTTTTTAGTAGAAAGGAGGTAAGGCTTATCGGTCTGTAATCCTTGGGAATCACATGGCTGCACTTTACTGACTTTGGGAGGAAGACAACTCTCGAGGTTATCCATAGGTTAGGGATATAGCCCGTACCTAGAAATGCTGAGTATATTGCGGAAAGCCATGGGGTAATAACCATGTTGGTGACCTGCATGATGGCTGGGAATGCCCCGTCCAGTCCTGGTGCTTTTTTGTCCGCAAAGGATTCTCTTATTGGCTAACAGATCTGTTGGGGGGGGTGTTGCTCCTCGGTTGCTAGGTCCTGATGTTATTTGCCATCAGTGACTTCGGTGCATCCAGGGAAATGCGTCTCCATTAGTGCTGTTAGGGCTTCATCACTGCCCTCTGCCCACTGTCCGTCATCTAGCTTTAATTGAATGTGTACGGTGGGCTGCTTTGAGAGCAGCTTCCGAAGCCGTGCGGTTTCAGGTACTTTTTCGATGTTGGAGGGTTCTCCACGAATTCCGTTGTGCCTTGCGTATTTCCTTCTTGTAGCTCCTAAGTAAGAGTTCCTCTTCTTCGTTCTCGAGGGTTTACACGATGCGTCCAGTAGCTCATTGGATAGGGTCTCTAGGGATCTATATCGTCCGCGAATTCCACTGAGCCCGGAAGTAGTATGTCTAAATTAGTTGTTAGTATTAAGTCTAAGAGTGACGCACCTCTGTCATTGATGTCGGGGCTTCCCCATCCGTACTGGATTGAGACATAAGGCAAGCATGGATTATATTTCGTACGAGTACGACGGTTGTTCCTACTTACCTATGTTGAATACAAAATGTTGTGACTTGAGGACTTTAGCCACTGAGTTGCCTGATGCAATCGAGGGCTCCTAGACTAAAACTATGTCGGCGAGACTTTGCTTCATGGCAATGAAAAGCTCCGCCGACGCTACCTTGCTTTTATGCAAGTTGATCTGCAGCACTCTCAGCATCATGGGTGGTTGGCTCAGTTGTACCTGACGGGTTGACTACCAGCGTCAGTATAAGGAAATTTCATTTCATTCTCGCTTGCAATGCGATCTCAATAGCTTTCAGTCATGGTGTTGTGCAAAATTGTTACACCTTAATGCCTCAAAATGGAAAGTAATGACATTTCATCGTTCTAGCCCCTTTTTGGCTCACTATACCCTATGCGGTGGTTCTCTTGAGAGAATTACGCTGGTGGATGATCTTTGTGTTATATTAGACGCTAAGCTAAGGTTCTCTGAACACATTTCTACCATGCTAAATAAGGCAATGGGCGTGCTTGGGTTTATAAAGAGGTGGTCAAAGTCATTTTACGACCCCTATATAACAAAGACTCTCTATACCTCGCTTCTTCGTCCGATCTTAGAATGCGGCTCTAGTGTATGATGCCCTCAGTACAAAGTACACCAAGACCGTGTTGAATCAGTCCAGAAAAACTTTTTTCATCTTACCCAAGTAGAATGTTTTTAATAGACCTTCCATCCTTAATCGTAGAAAAAGCTTGGTGTGATTTTTGTACACAACTTGATCGAGGGTGACGTAGATAGCTCTTACTTGTTGACCCGAATAAACTTCAAAATTCATACTAGATCCACCAGAAACTATTTACCGTTGACCCTTCTGTTTTGTAGATCGAATTATTTCTTGTATGAGCCGTTTAGGGTCTTATGCTCGGATATTCCCTCTACCAGAATATATCCACCACCAATTCCCTCTCCTTATTAAATTACTAATACTCACATACCTTTCTCGTAATTAGCAATTTTACTTGTTTTTGTATTTTGAATGCATGCTTAGTTCTCTTAGTAAGTTTAGTTTTCATATTCCTCGCATATTAGTCTAAAAGCTTTCTTTCCTGCATGTTCGCGTTCGAGGGCTGCGTTTTCTGCTGGTTTCACACGGGCCACTTGATGGTGCAGTAATTGCATCGCCACTTGAAAGATGCAGTCATTACATATAAACGTCCAGCAAGATTTTTACACTGTAGGATGTGTATAACAACTTAAGCTTCATGATAGGTAGCTGCTGTAATATAAATAATTATACTCTAATCGCTCTTTTGAAAAATCAATTTTCAATCGGTGTCAATTTGGGTTACGCATTACATATCTATTAATATAGATCTACCAACTTTTAAATAACATGTGTATGTAATAAATTCGATCCTTTCCTTTAGTTTTCTCTATACTATGATTTAAATTAAAAGCTAAAAATCTAAGTCCCCATTTTATCGAGATACCTGGGCACTAAGTGCTTTGCAGAGTACTGATCAAACGAGAAGGACTGGAAGAATTTATCTCGGTTCCTACGGAAAGGTCCCGGATATCGACAGCAATTGTAAAGCATTTTTATCAGAGAGTTAGGCGTGTTGTACAGGTTTACCTTGGGATAGATTTCTGGGTATACCAGCTTATTAGGGGCAATGGGGTAACAACCGCAGTATGTAGCTTCTAGCATAGACACGCCGTAGAATTCATGGTCTGCCGTCGAAATAACGATGTCTCCAGTGAGCAACGTCTCTATGTATTTTTCGCGCGATAAGCGGCCATAGTTAACGAGCTTGGCGCCCAGCTTTTCTTGTATTCCCTCAAAGGCTTCTGGCACTTTCGGGAACTTCTCGCCACAGATGGTAACCTTGAAGTTTACCTGCCGCTTGTTTAACTCGAGCAGCACCTCAACCAACAGAGTTGGGTTTTTGTCGTGCTCCCAACGATGGGGCCAAATCAAATGCAAGCACTCTTGCTCCAGGTTAGCAACATCAACATCAACTTCTACATTTACGATGCGACGCTTATTGGGGAACGCATGAAATTTAATGGGGAAGTAAAGCACCTCACACTTTTTTTCTATTTTCTCGCGAATGTGCTTTAGCTTGAAATCAGGCTGAATATTAAGAAAGGGCTGCACGTTGTCCAGGAATGAATTCCGATTGAAGTTTGAATTGAAGAGCACGATGTCTGCGGTAAAACTGAAAATTGAAATATAATTATAATTACAGTATTAATGTATTACATACATACGTAGCCCCAATAAATTTACCAAGAGAGTATCTCGTTTAATCCGTACTGACAATCGCGCTTCTTCACCTCACGCACTGGATATACAAGCTGGTTTTCGTGAAAGTAGACAATTTTTCGACATGTGACTAAGTCGGGACGTACACCTATTAGCTCAGCCAAACTAAGAACTGAGCTCGTGAAGAGTACTTTGTAATTGTGCTCAGGCGGAATTAGCTGTGAAAAGTAAAGTGCAGAGGTGCGGGCTCGCCAGTGCCACTTAGTTGCTGGCAGACTGAAAAGCTCATAGTCGGTTAGATTCAGGCCTGCGGTGGTTATGATAAATATCAGATAAAGGCTGTTAGATAAATCTATAAGACTTACTGTCGATCAAAGTATCTATTAGCTGCTTATGGCTTCCGCCATAGAATGGCTCTATAATTAATATCTGCGGCTTGACAGAAGACATGCCTCTTCAGCAGTCGGCACAACTACAAAAGCGCGAAAATTGAAAAATATGTGGGGTTAACTATTCGCCGGCACATTTGTGATTTACATACTTATAATTTAATTTAGGTATGTACATACGTATTGTTGTTTCTATTTAGTTGTTTATACATATGTTAGTGATGAGAAAATATCGAGTCATCGATGGTTTCCATGTCGCAATAAGAATCGATGTTTTGTTTAAACAATTTGGTGGTCGCATTCCACTACACCTCAATTAAAGGCTGTTAGACCCAGATATAATGCACTAATTTAAAATCATTCAGTGTGACCGAAGGAAATATATGCTTTCGTTTAAATTTGAAATCAATTTACTGTACATCTGAATTCCACGATTTCCTGCTGTGGCAGGAATACCGTCAACATCATTTAAATTTCAACTCGCTTCGTGATAAAAGAAACTCGTCGTTGAGTGTATTAATTGTATCGATAGCTATTTATCGAGCATATTCCACGTCTACCAGTCGCACGCTCTAAACAGCTAAAATTTTTTCTTCAAGAGAAAAATCTGACATACAAACTTGATCAAAATGACCAACGCCTGGAGAGCTGCTGGAATTACGTAAGGATTTTTAAGTTGCACGCTACAATGCAAATGCTTTTCAGTTGCATTATATATAAATTATAAATATTACGTAATTATTTGATATTTTTCCAATTGCAGCTACATCCAATACTCGAACATTGCAGCCCGAGTTCTGCGTGAAGCCTTGCGCACGGAGCTGCGCACAGATGCTGCCAAGCGTAATGCAAGCCATGTGAAATTTACTCCATGGGCCAACGGTAGGCCAGCTCGTAAGTATTCTACCTTATTCTCGGCTGTAAGATTTCAGATTTTTATCGGACCGTCTAAAACGGCTATTAGAATAGATACATTACATAATGTAAATATATTTAGCAAGTCGCTTTTGCTGGGTCTGTGAATAAGTGTTCGTCCCGAATATCGCCCCAATAGACGCGTTATATCAGAAGGGCAGTCAATCAAACGTCATGGTGATTTCGTTTCGATCTGACACATTTTGTTGTATTTTTATATATTATTACAGACGAAAAGGCTTAAGTTCGAACAATTTTGGCTCTCGAGACAGGTGTGAGTCAACCCTGCCACCCATATACATATATTGTATTCTTGTTTTATTTGTAAACCATCTTACTAACACCAAATTTCAAAGGCAATGTGTTAACTTCGAAATTTAAAATACTTTACCATATTGTTTTTGAGTGGCCGCATTAATAATTGAAGTAACAAAATCCCTACCCATTTAACGGATGGAACTGTGATCTAACCATACAAGACATTAGCTAACTGCTATTAAATATGACATTTTTCTGTTTATAATGCTTTAACTTAGTTTTTCTTTTCGTACAGCGCGCCAAGCCCAGTCGGAATCCTAGACGCTTGTCTGGTCTTCAGAGACGATATTATCTGGAAGTACCGATTGTGAGAGCCGTTGGGACTCCATAATTCAATTTTAAAAATTACATCAAACCGAATGTGTTGAATTAAAATATTAAAAAAAAAAACGATGTTAGTTTCAATATTGATCTTTATTCAACTAAAAAATATTAAAATCCTAGAATATTTGTCCGAATCAATCAATCAATTATGAATTAATATCCTAAGAGCAGCAATAACAGCTCTTTATATTCAGGAAGACTACTGTTTCTCCTTCTCAATATTATAGAAATGTGGCCAGGCCTGTATCTCCTCATACAACCGTCGGCCTGGACTTTCCGTTGAGTTGCATTGGCAGTGACAGATAAGTCGATAATCGGATGCAATGTGGCCATCCTCAACACCGCGCGCCAACAGATTGCGGCACATGTTCAAAGCATCCGTCGTGGGTAATTCTCGCATGAAGCAACCGATGAAACTGATGCCCAGTGCGATCTTGTTGTATCCCAGTGTGTGCGCTCCAACCGTACGCCAGCCGCGTCCCTCGTAGATGTTGCCATCACAACCAATTAGAAAATTATAAGCAATGTCATTCCATCTCCGTGATTCGATGTGAAAGCACTGGAAATGTGATCAAATTATTTCATGTGACTTAACGTTAAATTCCTCTAATATCCGTAGTGTTAAAAATATATGGATAAAACAATGTTTAGGCCTAAGAGCTCGTGCATACCATAGCTAAAAGTGTTGCCGAAAGCGGAGCCGAACTAAAGAAGCTTTCAAAATTTATATCTTAGTTTTTTAAGCCGGTATCAGCTTGGCTGTTTGCACACACTTTCGACTGAGTGGAAAGATTATCTGATAGCTATAAGTCCATTTGTTTCAATTAAATTGTTATTTGAGTTTAAAAACTATCTCAACGAAATTTGCATATACTTTTCTTTTCTGAGTTTGACAATCATTTGTAGGAATCGGGCGGATCGGACGTCTGTATCTACATATGTACATAGTGGTGCTCATTGACTTAAGCCACAAGAATTTAAGCGAAAATCAAGAAAATTTTTTATTTTACATCTCCAGTATGCGTCGAAACAGGCGAAACACGCCTATGGCGAATTGAAGGCGCTTTTTATAATTATTGATGGGCAGCAATTCGCTTAGGTCCCCTGGTGAAGATTCAAGGCATTATGAACGCCGAACTGGAGAGACATTCTGTGTAGAAATTTATCTGGAGAATATGCCGATAATTTGCCACTTGTCTGGATATTTCAACAGGACAACGACCCGATACAATGCTGCAGGATAGTCAAGTCGTGGCTTAACGAAGAGGGAATCAATGTTTTGCAATGGCCACCGCAGAGTCCCGACCTGAACCGTATAGAGAACTTGTGGGGAATTCTAAACCAAGTCGTTGCCCAAAAATAACCAGCAATAAAAAATATTTGTGCTGAATTTCACAGGAACAATGGAAGAAAATCACCCCTCAACAGTGCGCAAATCTTGTAGATTCAATACCAAATACCAATATCTGTCTGGTCTGTCTGTCCGTCCGTCCGTCTGACCGTCCCTATCAGCGCATAGTGCTCAAAGACTATAAGAGCTAGAGCAACGACATTTTATATCCGGACTTCTGTGATATGTCACTGTGTATACAAGTGTATTTCAAAACTTTACCCCGCCCACTTCCGCCCCCACAAAGAGCGAAGATCTGTGGCATCCACAATTTTAAAGATACGAGAAAACAGAACACGCCGAATCGTGGAGGATGGCTATATCTTCGAGAGTGCAAAATCTGAACCAGATCGTTTAAATATTATGGCCAGAATCAAGAAAACAATTTCATTCAGTCTCTCTCTAACACACAGGTTTCATGGTCGGTTTTGCCAATTGCAAAATATGAGTTCAAGGATCTCGGAACCTATAAGAGCTAGAGCAACCAAATTTGGTATCCACACTCCTGTGATATCGGACCTTGACCGTTTTGTGTCAAAATTGCCACACCCCCTTCCGCCCCGCAAAGGACGAAAATCTGGGGCATCCACAAATCTCAGAGACTATTAACGCTACAGCAACCAAATTTGGTATCCAACCTCCTGTGATATCGGACATTGATCGTTTTGTGTCAAAATTTTGCCACACCCCTTTCCGCCCCCGCAAACGACGAAAATCTGGGGCATCCACAAATCTCAGAAACTATTAAGGCTAGAGTAACCAAATTTGGTACACACACTCCTTTAAGATGTCACTATAAAACGTATATCTCAAAATTTTAAAGTTTAATATTAGCGGCGTCTGCCGGAGGAGAGCCATACTGACTAAGTATCGGGTATAAATGTAGAGTTGTAGAGATATACGTTTTATAGTAAGATCTAACAGGAACGTGGATACCGAATGTGGTTGCTTTGGCCCTCATAGTCTCTAAGATCTAGGTGCGGATTTTTTTTGTTGGATTCGATTACCAATATATACTATTTAGGCTATCGATATTTTTCATGAAGTGAAGCTTTTGAAATTCACCTGGATTCACCTTCATTCTTTTTTTATTTGTTAATGTAATTAATTGTCTTTGTATTTTTTGTGGATTAGAATAGACCAACAGACTCAGAACTCTGTATATATAAATGCGAGCAAATTTACTGGTCAGAGCAATTGTAGATAGCGAAAATTTAGGTGAATTCCCTATTTGTGAATTTAAGGGGATTACATTTTTGCAATAGAAATTTGTTAGTATTTTGTGAACTATCAATGCAATCAGACGTGTTTGGTAAAGACATGTTTTTATACGCAAATTGGTTTTTTCAACGTTTCATAATTTTTTCCCTAATTTTAATAGGTTGTAGAGACAAGAACCAATCACTTATTTTTTCATACGATCAATGTCTTTTTTAAACAGTTTGTTAACATAGTTTTTTTACACGGGTTTTTTCAGGAATCAATCTACCGTGTAAAAACTGAATCAGATGTAATTGCCTTTTTTATTGAATCCCTAAGAAAAACTCCGAAATACACGTATAGCTGCTTTTGTAGAAACAGTTCAGAATATAATTTAATTAAATTTTAAATTTAAATTTGTATAATACAAATTTAAAATAATTTTTAATTTTTGCAAAATGATTTTTATTTATAATTTTTATTTCCTTTTTTTCATACACTTAAGACACTTTATTCGACTTTGATTTTTAAAACTCAGCTCTTTTTCGTAATCCCTGCTTAGAACTCACCTGCATGTCACGGATAAGTCGCACATTTATGGCGCGCTTCTCGGAACTCTCGGTTGCCGTGTGTACTGTTAGGAATATATTAAAGTAGAAACAAATAAGGTAGCTATCTTCGGCGTATTGAAGTTTATACATATATTTACAATAGAAGGTAAATTATTTCGTTACTATAGTAGCTATATAAGTACATATGTACATAAACCGTCAGCTTTGTTATTATATTATTAGAATATTAGCATATTCTTTTACGACGATTAGCAACTTTTGAAAGTCATAAATTTTTTTGTAAGTGTTTGCTTATAGTCTCGCATAAGTTTAACAGCACGTTCGGCTGTATTATATTGGACGTTGACATGCAATGACTGCATTTTACAAGAGGCGATGCAATAACTGCACCGTCAAGAGCCGGATTTGTGAAAGGGTCTTCAAATTCCTTTGATCACCTCTTTATAAACCCAAGCATGCCCATGGCTTTATTTACCATGGTAGAAATGTGTTCAGAAAACTTAAACTTAAAAAACTTAATAAAAAAAATAGAAAACTTAATAATGAAAGAGGTAAATTCTAAGAAGTTCGTGGTTGTTGATCGCCGCCTTATAAATCCATGCTGAGTTGGAGATATAAGTGCCTTGCAGAGATGTTTCAAGTGCGGAGTTAAAACCGTCTCAAAAATTTTAGGAAGAGCGGATAACTTTGATATACCTCTATACTTTTTTGCGTCAGATAAATATCGCAAATGGCTGCAAGTCCTTTTTAAAACGACGTTTGCAATTTTTGGATCAAATTCTTTATAGTTGTACATTTCGCATATAAATTGAAAGTGCAGATTTGGAGCTTCAACAGCTAATGTTGACCGAAACCAATAATTTATGTAAGAACGCACTATAAAACGAGGGGGAACGTTGTGAGTTGCTGCGGACACCGCAACTCTACAGTTATACCCGATACTAAGTCAGTATGGCTCTCCTTCGGCAGACGGCGCTAATATTAAACGACACGACAAAGAGTGCGTGCGAGAGAGACAGAAAATCAGTCTGAGCGTGACGTCGGGCGCTGCGTAGCCAATGCAAATTGATTTGTTCCTTTTGGCTATAAAAATGATCTGATCTGATCCAGATTCAGCAATCTCATAGATATGGTCATTATCTATGATTCTGCGTTTTTAGTTGTCTCGAATCTGCAATATTGTGGATGCAACAGATTTTCGTCCTTTGTGTGGGCGGAAGGGGGTGGGGCGAAATTTTGAGATATACGTTTTATAGTGACATCTTAAAGGAGGGTGTGTACCAAATTTGGTTACTCTAGCGTTAATAGTCTCTGAGATTTGTGAATATCCCCAGATTTGCATCCTTTGCGAGGGCGGAAGGGGGTGTGGCGAAATTTTGACACGAAACGGTCAAGGTCCGATATCACAGGAGTGTGGATACCAAATTTGGTTGCTCTAGCTCTTATGGGTTCTGAGATCCTTGAACTCATATTTTGCAATTGGCAAAACCGACCATGAAACCTGTGTGTTAGAGTGGGACAGAGCGAGAAAGAGTGAAATTGTTTTCGTGATTCTGGCTGTAATAATTATACGATCTGGTTCAGATTTTGCACTCTAGAAGATATAGGCATCTTCTACGATTCTGCGTTTTTAGTTTTCTCGTATCGTCGAAATTGTGGATGCCACAGATTTTCGCCCTTTGTGGGGGCGGAAGTGGGCGGGGCAAAGTTTTGAAATATTTTTGGAGCAGTGACATATCACAGAAGTCTGGATCCAAAACATCGTTGCTCTAGCTCTTATAGTCTTTGAGCATTAGGCGCTGAAGGGGACGGACAGCTCGCCTTATACATTCAGCGAGGATGGTGCATTGGTTCAGGGAGTCGGAAAAATGACCTTTCGTAACACCAATCCTAAAAAAAATTTGAGTTAACTCTAACAATTCTACGTAATCTGTACGCGTGTGAGTTTTCTCAATTCAACTTAGCAGAAGTTAATGTAAATGCGTTGCAACGTACTCATGATTCACACCAAACTTAAACTTGATTTGTTCAATAGTCTTCCAGGAATCTTTAAATCTGGCAAAGAGTGCAACGTTTTTACCTGATGTAGCTTCGGCACATGACTCAAATGCTGCACGCAAATGTATTTCACTGGTGTGATGTCTGCATGGGAGGTATAAGAGTCTTTTGTCTAATAGTTTCTTTAGGAGCAATGTAGCGCCGTTAAGTTGTCCAGAACCGGACACAGTTGTATCAAAACAGGCCTTTTTAATTTGATCAACTACTCCCAATTTCATTCCCATTCCGAATGCATTTGTTGGGGTAGACGAGGGTGGCAATTTTATATTTATACCCGATACTTAAAATGAGTATTGGGGTACATTAGATTTGTGGTAAAAGTGGATGTGTGTAACGTCCAGAAGGAATCGTTTCCGACCCCATAAAGTATATATATTCTTGATCAGCATCAATAGCCGAGTCGACTGAGCCATGTCTGTCTGTCCGTCTGTCCGTCCGTCCGTCTGTCCGTCCGTCCGTCTGTCTGTCCGTCCGTCCGTCCGTCTGTCCGTCTGTCCGACCCCTTTAGCGCCTAGTGCTCAAAGACTATAAGAGCTAGAGCAACGATGTCTTGGATCCAGACTTCTGTGATATGTCACTGCTACAAGAATATTTCAAAATATTTCAAGCCCCGCCCATTTCCGCCCCCATAAAGGAAGAAAATCTGTGGCATCTACATTTTTAAAGATACGAATGATCATATGTTCTAGAGTGTGAAATCTCAACCAGATCGTATAATTATTATAGCCAGAATCAAGAAAACAATTTCATTCTTTCTCGCTCTGTCTCTCTCTAACACACAAGTTTCATGGTCGGTTTTGCCAATTGCAAAATATGAGTTCAAGGATCTCAGAACCTATAAGAGCCAGAGCAACCAAATTTGGTATCCACACTCCTGTGATATCGGACCTTGACCATTTTGTGTCAAAATTTCGCCACACCCCCTTCCGCTTCCGTAAAGGACGAAAATCTGAGGCAACCACAAATCTCAGAGACTATCAAGGCTAGAGTAACCAAATTTGGTACACACCCTCCTTTAAGATGTCACTATAAAACGTATATCTCAAAATTTCGCCCCACCCCCTTCCGCCCACACAAAGGACGAAAATCTGTTGCATCCACAATATTGCAGATTCGAGACAACTAAAAACGCAGAATCATAGATAATGACCATATCTATGAGATTGCTGAATCTGGATCAGATCAGATCATTTTTATAGCCAAAAGGAACAAATCAATTTGCACTGGCTACGCAGCGCCCGACGTCACGCTCAGACTGATTTTCTGTCTCTCTCGCACGCACTCTTTGTCGTGTCGTTTTTTATTAGCGGCGTCTGCCGGAGGAGAGCCATACTGACTTAGTATCGGGTATAACTGTAGAGTTGCGGTGTCCGCAGCAACTCATAACGTTCCCCCTCGTTTAATACTCTGCATGTGTAATTGCACATTAGTCTGAAAAGTTGAATGTTAACTATTTATTGTTGGCTTAAATATTAACAAGTCGAGCTGAAATTTTAATATTCTAAATCAGGAAAAAATTCAATCCGATCAGAGCGATATATAGTATAGCTGGCATAGGTACCATAGGCCATGTGTCGTATTTTTGAACTTTGAAGTACATTCGCAACAAATTTTGTGATTTACTATTGAAAACGCTAAAAAATGGTGCTCCTTTGGTGATCGTCGAAATTAAAAGGAATGGTATTTTTATACAACAAAACGTATCTGAATTGCAAAAGAAAAACGAGGGGGAACGTCGTGAGTTGCTGCGGAGACGGAAACTCTACATTTATACCCGATACATAGTCAGTATGGCTTCATTGAGCAACAATGTGTGCGTGTGGGAGAGACAGAAAACGTGTCTGAACATGTCGTCGGGCGCTACGTAGCCACTGCAAATAGATTTGTTCCTTTTGGTTACAAAAATGATCCGATCTGATCTAGATTCATCAATCTGATAGATGTAGTCATTATCTATGATTCTGCGTTTTTAGTTTTCTCGAATTTGCAATATTGTGGATGCAACAGATTTTCGTCCTTTGTGGAGGCGGAAGGGGGTGGGGCGAAATTTTGAGATAACCGTTTTATAGTGAGATCTAACAGGAGTGCGGATACCAAATTTGGGTACTGTAGCGTCAATAGTATCTGAGATTTGTGGATGCCCCAGATTCTTACCCTATCTATATTAGTAAAAAAAATCGACGGCAACTAACTGCATCGGAAAAAGTTGTCTTTGGTGCTTTTCGTTTAGAATCCGCCGGTTGTTCCGGTAATGATCAAATTATACAAGGTCATGGATTCCCTCTCTTTCGGGACCGAGAAGACCGAGAAAGATATATAGATGTTTTTTTTTTTTTTTTTGCTATACTCTTAGCTTCATTGTGCTGCTGTAAAGTTTGTAAAACTTCCGAGGTCGTAATTTCATTCAGACTCCGCTGCCTATTCTCTTGTGTGTCTAAAGCCAAGTGTCAGCTTGACAAAATATTTTGTCGACCAAATCAGAGATGTTATTCGTATGGAAACGATAAAAAAAATCATCCCTCTTTTTTGATCCATCAAATATTTCGCGGATCCGCGAAAAATACCGATAATGATACTGAAATGCATCCGATTTTATATCCTGTGCACGAGTGATGTACAGAAATATTTTATCTTTCGATGACCAATAGGCAATGCAAATGCAATATTGAAGACAAATTTAATCTAATCACAGCAATTTATGGATATTTAGCCAGGCTCCGGTTTTTACTTTCACAAAAGTTTTCTGATTTACTTTTGAAATCACATAAATTGGTGGTCTCTTTTTCACATTCCGCAATATTTCTGTTTTTAAAACAAAAACATTTTCCTCGACGAAATGAAAATTAAACGGCTTTTTATACAACACAACGAATCTTAATTGCAAAAGGAAAAAATAGGTGACGAATTAACATAAACTTGAAACCACTACTACTACTACAATTTTGCATTTATAAATAAATAATTTTAGCTTAACCCAACCTCAAATTTGGGTCGGAAAAATTTT